GGCGAGGAGAAAGAGCAGTAGTGGGCAGGCGAACGAGAGAACGATGGAGCAGCAGACCGGATCGGGGGAGCAGGAAGAGGCGGAGGGGGAGGCACACTTTTGCCCTCTGCCGGACCGAACGCGCAGCGCAATAACACGCGGCCGGTCTTGCAGAATCCAACGGCAAGAAGACACCGCTCCCCGGTTGCTGCTGGCGTCGTCGGCGACAAGAAGAAGTATGAGCCATCTCGCACGAACTCTCATCCAGCTGCTCTACATCTTTGAGTCCGCCGCCGAAGAACACGCCCGCCCGTTCCAGCCCTGCAAAGATGCACTCCCCAGTCAGGCGCGAGAGCAACATTAATGGGAACACCCAAGGCTGACACGCGCTCAACTCATAACAGAGCATGCGGTTTGCAGGCGCCTATCTTTCAAATCAGGATCGGAATGCTTGATTTGGATTTCCTGCTGCGCTTCGCCCCATTTAATTATCATGGACGCGCGCGCTGAAGTATGTAATCCGAAGGCAGCGAACGCACTAGCACGAGCAGCACGATACCGCCACACCGAAATAAGCACAAGCTGTCGGATGTAAGATCGCCTCATATCAGTTGCTCTCTCACGAGCCGCCGCGGGTAGGTGTTGAAAGCCCCAGATCAAGTCGCACACCCCCCCCCCAGCCCTCACGGACGCGCCCTCGGCAAAACAGCCCTTCCACCCCAATCATCCGGGTTCCGACCTCTTGAGCTCTCGCGCTCTCTCTCTCTCTCTCTCTCTCTCTCTCTCTCTCTCTCTCTCTCTCTCCTCTCTCTCTTCTCTCTATTATCTCTCTGCTCTCTCCTCTCTCTCTCACTCTCCCTCTCTCTCGTCTGCCTGCCGGGACTACCCCCATCACGCCTCCCGCCTCTGACCCCTGACCCCATCTGAGCCCCTGGACTTCTAGAAGATTCCCCACCTCCCACGCGACTTACTGGCGCATATGCCACATTGAGAATGTCGCATCACATGCCACATACTGTATATGATATGATATATCGCACGTCCCCCACCCGCCCGTCTGACTGGCCACGCGCACCTGGAATAGCGTATCGGGCAACGGAGAGGTGACGGTCGCTCCCTCATCACCATCACATCGTCTGATTGTCCGCTCTTCTCGACGCCCCCCCCTGCCGCTCTCACCGGCCCCTCCTCATCTACCCCCCACGCCATGTTCATCCTTTTTCCCCCTCCTCGCTCTCCTCCTCCTCCTCCCCCTCCTCCTCCCTCTCCTCCTCTTCCTCCTCCGCCCCCTCCTCCTGCCCCTCCCCCCCCCCTCCTCCCTTGACGTCCTCTTGTCCCCGTTGGGGCCGCAACCGACCCAAATGTGGCGCGGCGTCGCCGGGGATCCTCTAATGTGGCGTGGCCTCGCTGGGGGCCCCATCCAGACCATAAGTCTTCCGATGTAGTTCCGCCGGGGGCCCCAACTAGACCATGGACCATGAGTCCTCTAATGTAGCCTCGCCGGGGGTCCGAACCAGACCAAAGGTCCTCTAATGTGGCCTCGCTGGGGGTCCCAACCAGACCATAAGGGGCCATGAATCCTCTAATGTGGCCCTGCTGGTGGCCCGAACCAACAAGTCCGCTAATGTGGCCTCGCTGGGGGGGGGTCCCAAATAAAGCATTTATCAATTATACCGAGGCGATGATGAATTAGCACGGCCTCGAAGGGAGCCCCAACCAGACCATGGGCCCTCTGATGTGGCTTCGCAAAGGCCCCTACCAGACCATGAGTCCCCCAACGTGGCTTCGCTGGGGGTCCCAACCAGACCAGAGCATTAAGTCCTTTAATGAGACCTGGATGGAGTCCCCACCTGGACCAAACCAGAAGTCTTCGCTGGGGGTCCCAACCAGAGCATTGGTCTGCCCCCTCCCTCCTCCCACATCCTCTGCCTCTTCTTCATCCCTCCCCCGTCCCCTCCGTAGAGCTCCCACGACCTTCCGGGCCAGGTCCGTCTGGCGTTGCCGAGGGCCGGGGACGGCCACGTCCACGGCGTACCCCGCCGGACCCTCGTCCTCGGCAAGCAAGGCCAAGTCCAGGAGGCCCTCCATGGCCCATGGTTTGCGGCTTGGACGGCCGCCAACCAAGTACCAGGACACCAGCTTGATACATAGAAAGGTTCTGCGCGCGCGGAAACGTGTATCACATTGGTTTGCCGTTACTTGGTTGGCGGCCGTCCACATTCGTAGCCCAGGGCTGGCCCTGAACAGG